GTCCCAAAAAGGACGAAACGCGCGTTCTTGATTCCACCACTAACCATCATCCATCTTTGTTTATAATACATGTGACTGAAGGTAATATCGAGGCAATTCGAACAGGATGCACATATGCGAACAACAGACTGATCAATTGCAGTCCTAAACAACAATGGGAAGATACAAATAAAGAACACCCAGTGAACCAATATTTACTCTTACGTCCCACCTCAAACATCTTAACCAACATTAAGGTGTGAAAATGTTTACTGCCAAATCTCATCGACATGGTGATGAAGATTTGTAGCTCAGGTGGATAATCTTCATGGAGTAGAAGTTTGTGTTGATGATGTCGTTCAGAAGAACGATGAAACCTCCACAACCAAACTATCCAGCTCGAAGAATAAGACTCCATCGAATATTTACTTTAAAAAAAAAACAAATCGAACCTGAAGGCTGGGTAAAACTGGGAAAAACAAAGGGAAAATGCTTTTATCTATCCATAATCATGGTAACTGGCATATCATGTGAGTCATTGAATTGACCTTAAAGCTGAATTCTTTTCATAGACATGCACACACACACACATTTGTATCGGTCATTGTATTGTGTATTCGTTGCTTCTATTTATTTCCTACTGTGTTTAGACCAATTATAATCCTATTGACATTCCCATTCAATTTTTTCTTTCTATTCCCTTCTCCTAGTTCTTCTATTCAATGTTGTAGGTTGTATATGAAAGAGAGAAGAAACAATAGACCAATCATTCATATTCTACAAGGTAATTGATTATTGATTATTGTAAAAGATTATTTAAACAATCCATTTGGTCAATTCCAAATGAGGGAAGTCGAGTGATAAACATCACTCGATGTGATGTTGTTCAGTATGGTGAAATACACCAGTTGGCTTCTATGATGGAATGAATGTAGAATGAAATGGGATTCATCCAAATTGAAGATTTGGGATTCATACAAACAATCATCGGATCATTTAATGGATGAACAATCTTAATTGATCTATTCCACTATTCTTCTTCTTATTATTATCATTATTATTATTGAAGGCGTAATGTGCAATAATAAGGTGAGATCATTTGATTCCACACAGTGTGTGTGTGTGTGTGAATCATGATCACCTTTGTAAACACAATCTCTATCATCATACATAAATCGATAATTCCATATATTTATGGGTATGTTCTAATTGTTTTCATTTCACAAACGGTACTTTCTATTCTCCTCATCAATTGATTTCGAGTGCTTGATCTGGTCAAATTGAATTCATATTCTTCTATATGTGATCACGATGGTGATGATGATGGTGACTTGTTACTATGGACTATTGAATGTGATTTCATTTTTGTTTCATTTTTATATTCTTACATGATTTTCATCTATGGAACTTGTTGTCCATGGAAACCAGCTTTCTCTCATGATCTCAATTGTACACAAACTAATTCATCAAGTTGATATGATCATTGTCTACTGTGAACCGATACTCATGTTACCATGACAATTATACTAATGATTCATGGTTCATTCTTCTTCTTCTTTTCTTTTCTTTTCTTTATATAATCAATAAAGTAGTTACTTTCTGAATTAAGTTTTCTTCTAAATTGTAAAGATGTCAAGGATTGTTCTTGAGTTTGAACAATGAAGAGTGATTTGTTTATACGATATTGTCTATTTATTGAGAATATCTGAGATGTTGTGACGTAGGTCAGAATAGAAGTACATAGAATGAAGACTGGATTAATCGATTTCGATGATGAAGTGTCTTGTTCTCTAGGTAGATTTCAAGTGACAATTCTTGTAATAGTTGAATATTGTCATTCAACAGTTGTATTAAACACTTTCATCTTTCGATAAGTATTATGATCTAAGCAACAAACCAAACAACAGTCAGTAGTATCTTACTAATCAGATAAGCCCTCAAATGCCCCGATACGACCGAGGGTGTGGAGAGTCCACTCTCCCTCTATAAATGCTCTCACGTGGCCACGCGTATACATCCACTACCAGGGAACTCCTACTCACTGATTTCTCGCAGCAAGGGTGTCGTTTATGAAATTAAGAGAATGAAAAGAGAGTGTCCGTTTCTTTAACCAGGTTAGTGGATTCAGTGAATCTACTTAAGGAGGTAGGAAAACCCTAATCCCAAACAAATGATCTGCATGGGCTTCAGGATCCTGAAAGAACAAATGGTGAATGAGTCTATATTCGTGCTCATCGGCTAGCATGGGACTGAATCTCCTGACGTGGCTGCACTACCTTGTGAACTAGACTCTAAGGTCAAAGGCTACAGATGTGGCCTCCTAATATAACCACCTACTACGGTCTGGCCTTTTGAGCAGTGTGTGGCTCATCTTTTCATTCTACATTGAGACAATGATCATCTGATAAACCTTGAATAATCCTTAATAAAATAAGTGAGCTTACTTATATGATTTATCACAATACAAACATGACATATCTCTTGAAGATGATGTCATTGATTGAAAAATTCTGTCCAACCTTATGTTGATCACTATGTATGATTTTGGGGAACATTTCAATACATCTATATGAATAAGGGATCTTCGTACTCCACTCCTCTCAAGACGACGACACTCATTGATGACTTGACATTTCAGTCAGTTGTGTTATATGAATATTATTCCATACAATTCAACTTTACTTCGTTAATATTCTTCGGTTATATATAAAACGAATTACAAGCATCTAGTTACAACATCATATTAGATCTTTTCTAAAGGTCTACTGTATATTATAGAGGAGACATCGAAAGTTCTATTTGACTTCAAGTACTAGTTTGACTTGTCAACTTCTTCAGAAATAGATTTAATCCGTTAAACAATCATCCAAATTAGTGAATGTTAGTTCGAGAATTAAAGATATTACATTAGATAGAAGCATTGATCTTATTATCAAATACACATATTCTTGAGTCATCTAACAATTAAGTAGTATATTCTAACCATGGATACAATAATCGAATTCTTAAGAATGTCAAGTACTATATAAGCAAAGATGAATAGTGGCTCGTAGTGGAATGCAGGACGCGAACATCGTCCCATTTCGGACTCTTCAGATGGATGCACCTGTCACATCTCAGAGTTGATGTTCACTCTCGGAATCAAACTCACCACTCCTAGTTTCAAATGCCATCGCGTTATCCAATCATCTACTGAGTCCTGATAGCCACCTGCTTGTCCAATGTGGTAAAGTTCAAATTCACTTAATATCGTTTTACATAAATCTTCCCATTGATGTTAAGTACTGCAAATGATCAGTCTCTTATTGACATACGTGTCTACTGTACGGATTTCCTCGATACTGTCTTAAGTTACAAGTGTTATAAGTTAACTATATGGATAACGTGATGACGTTTGAAGTAAACGGTAATTGGTTCGATTCCCAGAGTGAACATCAACTTAGTGGTACAGGCACATCCAATTGACGAGTTTCAACTAGAACAAAACGCGAATCCTGAATTCTTCTGTTAGCCACTATCCATCTTAGCTTATAATGTACACAATTTGCTTACAGAGTTATTGACTGACTGTTTAAATGAATGAATAAGAAACCTCAATCATGTCACAATACAAGTTAAAAACCCATGGATTAACGAATCTAATTGTTCACTGGTTTCAATTTCAATTATCACTATTAACATGTACAAGCTTTAATTATTGCTAGAGCTTTGAAATAATCTCAGTGATTGAAATTGAAATGAATACCCGGTGTTTTATCCGTTGAGCTTGTTTATTGTTTACGCGATAACCTAATCATCATTACTGTTGATATGAAAGTGTATGCAATTGATAAAAGGGAAGCAAATAACATAGAATAAGCTCAATTTCATAAAAAAACAACTTGATTTCATTGAATCATTATAACCTTCTGAGATGGTAGAGAAGATTTGTAGCTCAGGTGGATGATTTTGATGGAGTTTTGTTCTCTGAGGTGGATGGTTTGGTCGTGAGGCTTTCGTCGTTCTTCTGGACGACATTATCAGCACAAACTTCAGATAGAAGTGAAGTGTTGATGATTTCGTTCAGAATAACGATGAAAGCTCCACGACCAAACCATCTATCTCAGAGAACAAAACTCCATCACAATTATGAACTTCTGTTATATCCCGATAAGCATAGTGATTGGTAACTTTTGGGATCGATTTATGAACCAATTCGATACGTGTAATTGTTAAATAACTAAACTATTCATATCCGTGTCCCTCTTGTTGTGTGTTTTATTTTGACCTATGAACTATTATTACACCATTTACAATTCATGAGTTATGGCCTGTCTATTAATCACTACCTCCTACATTCACAGCCACATTTGGCTAATTCTTGTACAAATGTTGTTCCCTATTATATGGTGTGATGTGATCTGTTTGGTTGGTATATAAACCCAGTGTGCTTGAAATGTATGTTTCAGAGGCTGAGATTGGTGTTCTGGGCTCAACAAGCAGGGTTAGGCAGGACTGATAACGACTCTAGACTGTTTGTACTTGTCCGATCGATAATTCACTGCTCTCTAATCGGTAGTATCATTACGTCATCCATTAACAAGGCAAACAGGCCACAAGTTATAACAACTTCATTGAAATCACAAATCAATCTAAGTTAGACAGCTATTAAAAGTCTTAAAGCATTAGATTATCGTTTAGTTCTTGTATATACAACCATAGCCTACACAACTTAAGTCTAATTTGGATAGTGTTGAGTCGGCTTTCCGAGAACTGCAACAGAGCCTACAGAGGCCCTAGAAGAGCCGAAGAGTCCTAGCCAATCGGAGCATGGTGGAGCTTTCTAGAATGTCAACGTGGCGTGCTACTATTGGTCAGTAGCATAATATGTCTTTTAGCGGATTGGCTAAAATATGATGTTGATTTAACAGCTGTTAACATCTATAAATACCTGTGTTTTCTGTACAAAAATGAACCTTGGAGTAAAGTATTTCCTCGCATACTTTGCGTCTTCTCTCTTATGTTCAGTTCGCTGTATAGTTCTAGCTTGAGGGTTACAGAACAGCTTAGGAGATGAATATAGCGTTCAATTCGTAAGACTTATCAGATAGATTCCTGATTTCAGTGAAGTTTTAACATTATGCTCTAATGAAAATGTAAATTAGTTTAAGACAAGTAAAACATTCATTTAATGAAATCTTCATCTTCATTTCGTCCGATTCTTTTGTTTACTCATCAATGAATTGCATAATCCATTTCCATAATTCGATCCAAACCAGAAACCCCCTATTAGAATTGTAAATAGAAATATAGAAATAAACAATAAAATTTGAATAGACTTTATGATTATCAATTAACTGAACAGTCCATTTCAGATAAGTCAAGACTCTAAACATCAATCATTATTGATCTAACTAGATAAATAAAGATTTGTGAGATAGGAACTCACTGATGACAATGGTGTACGGTGGCGCAACTTTGTGGATTGGTTGAAGTTAGACATTAACACCGTTGGATGCCGGCTCAGTGGTCTAATGGTTAGGTGCTCGCACGCGAAACCAGTAGGTTCTGGGTTCGAATCCCGCGGGGGGATCGTGGATGCTGCCGAGGAGTCCCATACTAGGACGAAACGGCTGTCCAGTGCTTCCAGGTCTTCCATTGGTGGTCTAGCTTCAATTGGCTCATGATTTCAACTTATGAAATTTCTAAAAAATCTCCACAAAACCCATTCTGATAAAGATTTAACTGTTATATTATGGTGTGCACTACTTATGATTGACATCAGTAGTATATAACATTAATCAGGAATAGAATATCTAATAGCAGAAGGTTAAGAAGATGAAAGAGGAAAGAATGGGAATAGAAAGAAAAGTGGGTATAGAAATACAAGAACAATGAAGTATGAGATGATTAACTGATATTTACAAAAGGAACAGTGAAGTTTGAGATAATTGGTTCTCAGATTTTACTGAGATTGGGCGTTCAAACATATTCGATTGTTCTCACTTGTGTTCTTGTTCAATACAATTGTTATAAAAGATAAAAAGACACTTTAGTAATGAACATTTTTGCCTACTTAATCTATACAATTATATTTATAGTGAATTCTATTTGTTAAAAGTATAGAATCTCATAAGATGAGAACATGAATGAGCACTGTTGAAGAGTTTCATACTTGGACGAAACGGTCATCTAGTACTTCCAGGTTTCTCATGATGATCTAGCTTTAATTGACTCAGGAATTTAATCAGTAAAATAGAATAATGTTGAATATTTATAAATTTGAAGTGGTATCTTATCATGAATTGTTTACGAAAATTAGATATTGAAAAGAAGTTATGTAATAATTTCACAGATTGAAATCATGAGTCAGTTGAAGCTAGACCACCATGGAAAACCTGGAGGCACTGGACAGTCGTTTCGTCCCAGTGTAAGACTCCTCGGCAGTGCTCATCCACCGACCCTGTGCCCCGCGGGACTCGAACCCAGGACCTGCTGGTCTCGCGCGTGAGCACTTAACCAACAGGCCACTGAGCCGGCACCCAGCGGTGTTAATGTCTAACTTTAACCAATCCACGAAGTTGCGTCACCTTATACCATTGTCTTCAGTGAGCTGATATCTCACAACAGACTCAGTGATCTGATGGTTAAGTGCTCGCATACGAAACCAGTAGGTCCTAGGTTCGAATCCTGCGGGGTCGTGGATGTGCACTGCTGAGCAGTCCCATACTAGGACGAGGCGGCCGTCCAGTGCTTCCAGGTTTTCCATGGTGGTCTAGCTTCAACTGACTCATGATTTCAATCTGTGAAATTTCCAAAATCTCCACAAAGCCCTTCTGATTATGTAATAATTGTCTAATGAAGAACTGTACAGTGATGATAATTGTCCCCTTAGTAACAATCAAGAACAGAATCATTAAAAGTTGTAATAATGGCTATTTAATAGTTTTGAAAACAACTAGAAAGGAGTAGAAATAATAAGATTGTGGAAAGAATGACAGACTAAACATACTGTTTTTTTTGTATGCAGAGATTATACTTGAACTGGTGAGTAACATTGACCTCTTCTGTACATAAGTTTTTCATTTATATTTTTCCATTGAACCAACTTTTCTGACTACATGTATGATTTTAAAGGAGGCATCTGGTGAAACGGAGTGACCAGAATTAACTAGACATTGTTGACTGACTTTTGTAATCCTTTCGAGAGTAAGCTGGGGCGATATTTGAAAATGTGTTTCTAAAGAGTTTACTTTGTATAGTCCATATAACGTGCTCTACATGACTAAATAAACTGATAGATTCACATTGATTTGGCACTGAAAAAGATTCTGTTCATGAACATTCATGCTAAAGTTGATACTGAAGAAAACAGACATTAAAAATCTATGAAGATGTTCTAACTTGTGACTGCCGATTAGAGAGCAGTGACTTATCGAGCGGATCAAAGACGCGTAAAACACGTGTGAGCAGTCTAGAATCTGGATTGGCCCTGCTTTCCGCCTAGCCCAATCAGTTAAGTCTAGAACAATAGTCTAAGCCTCTGCAATATGAATCCTTATATTTCAAATATACTGGGGTTATATACCAATCAAACAGACCACAACGTACCAATATAATATGAAACAACATTTGCACAAGAATTAGCAAGATGTGGCTGTGAATTTGGGAGGCAGTGACTAATATACTGTGTATAACTCAAGAATGGTAAAAACGTATAATAATAGTTCATAGAGTAAAATGATGCTCATAATAAGAGGAACACGGATATGCATAGTTTAGTTACTTAATAATTATACGTTTAGTATTGGTCCACAAATAGATCCCAACAGTTACCATTCATTATGTTTTTCGGGACCTAACAGAGGAAAACGTTCTGTTTGGCAGAAATTCATATTATCTTTACCAGTCAGCCGATGATTCGTAGTTTTGTGAAGGATAAACAACCGCTTTTCATAGAAAATTCAAGATAAGACACCACTTCAGATTGTCTTTTTCTTTTAGATTATTCATATTGAACACCTTTTTATTGAACTAATTTCCTTCCTTGACTTGTTTTATTCTTCAATAACACAATGATGATCTTACTATATTTAAATTAGGTGTTCTGTTCTATGCTCAATAACAGTATAAGGTTGAACACAAAAGATTTAACCAATGATAATCATCATACTGTTCGACTTAGATGACCTTAAAGGATTATTGTAATGATACTGTGAAACATCTGAGATCATGATTGTTATAGACGGATGGTAACCGTTAGAAAGTACTTATGGATTAATAGAAGGTAACTAAACTATGTATTCACTTGGTATTGTTTTTAATTGAATCTTCCCATTGATGTTTAGGACTGCAATTTCAGTCCTGGATTCCACTGCTAGCCATTTAATCAATCAGTCAATAACTCTGTAAGCAAATTGTGTACATTATAAGCTAAGATGGATAGTGGCTAACAGAAGAAGTCAGGATTCGCGTTTTGTTCTAGTTGAAACTCGTCAATTGGATGTGCCTGTACCACTAAGTTGATGTTCACTCTGGGAATCGAACCAATTACCGTTTACTTCAAACGTCATCACGTTATCCATATAGTTAACTTATAACACTTGTAACTTAAGACAGTATCGAGGAAATCCGTACAGTAGACACGTATGTCAATAAGAGACTGATCATTTGCAGTACTTAAGATCAATGGGAAGATTTATGTAAAACGATATTAAGTGAATTTGAACTTTACCACATTGGACAAGCAGGTGGCTATCAGGACTCAGTAGACGAGTGGATAACGCAATGGCATTTGAAACTAGGAATGGTGGGTTTGATTCCGAGAGTGAACATCAACTCTGAGATGTGACAGGTGTATCCACCTGACGAGTCCCAAATAGGACGAAATGCGCGTCAGACTGGATTCCACTATTGGCCTCTATCCACCTTTATTTATATACCATTCATATTCATATTACTCTCATTATAAGCTTCTGTTTTACCTATCAACTACCATTATATAATCTACTATTCTCAAATTATACTCAATTTATTAGTTACAGTCTCTCACAATCAAACCCACTTTTCGGCTTGATCTTGTAAAAATATAATCTTCTATTTATAGTGTGATGTGGTCCGGTTTTGCTTGTATATAGACTAAGTATATTTGAAATATATGACTCGACATACCGGTGACTGAGATTGGAGTTGGGAACTCTAGATTGTTCGTACAGGTGTATACGTCATTAGTTTGGTCGTATAAGTGAGCTTATCTAAATTGGCAATTGTATTTTACGATAATCGTATATGCTAAGGACGTAAAATTAACCTAACTATGAGTAACTAGACTATGGTTTATTGAAACCAATCAGGTGTAGATTACACGTTTATTGACATTGTGATGCATTAAATCTCGTTAATGATTTACTGTTGTCTTATTAGACAACCTAATTCTGATAGAGATTCAATCTAAGCTGAATCATGTAAAGAATTGAATGTTGTAATTCTAAATAAGAGTGATTATCGTAGGTATAATGAACTGGATGATTGAATAAATTCCCTAGACTAAGTCTTGTATAAAGATTTAGTAGAAGAGACAAATTGTCAACTAACTATAGGAATGGAATGACTAAAATCATTGTTACACATTCACAGTCTCAGCTTATGATATGCAACTTAGTCACTTCTTAGTTCAAAATTACTTATGATGTGTGCTACTGAAATCGAAAGATATAAGCAGTGGAATTCCTAAAGGCAGAAGGTTATGAAGATCAGAAAAAAAGAGAACGAAAACAAAACTGATTGGTGTAGAAACGAAGGAACAATGAAGTCTGAGATGATTGATTGACATTTTGCAAATGAAGTATTCACTGTATAGTTCTTAGATTTTTGTGTTCAAATACATTCGATTGTCCTCAATTACATGTTCTTGTTCACTACAACATTATTTGTTTACTGTTGACATGACTACTTAAATGTTATAAGAAATGGATCATACTAAATATTAAACAATTTGATAATTTAATAGTTGAATTCATAAAGCTAGACTATTATGGAAAAC